TTACAGGGTGTTATAAAGAAATAAACTGTTGTCGTGAATTTACACGGTACTTAACAATTTGTATCTTTCTAAAAAGCTTTCTGATACTTCTGTTCGATGTAATTAAAAGAATCGTAATCCAAGTAACGTATTACACTGCTATTCAAAATTAAAAGAAAAATTACGCCCCTTCTGATTTTCGATAGAACCAAAATTAGAAGGTATAAATTCAAATAATAAAGCAATAGCGCTGATGTCGAGTACGTAACTGTATTCGTATATATAAATTCAGTGCAGTATTGGTAGACATAAAAAGTGGTAGCTTGTTAGACCGCTCTTACTACGGTTGTACTCAATGGTAATAATCGTAGCAATCAAAATATTTTTTTGAAATAATTTTGCATCATTTTCTGCAAAACTATTTTGACTTTAATGAGCAATGAATGGGTTAAGATGGTTGAATTAGGTGGGGAACCTTTAATATATTGGAAGCAGGGCACTCTAAGATCAAATTGCATGAATTTAGGTTTGCCTAAACATTAATGTCTGAAATAGTGTCGACTTTAATTTGTGGAAACAATTTCAGGAGACTGAAGCTATATTTAGAAGACTTGGAAAAGGGCATTTAAGAGTTACAACATACAAAAAGTCGATATTTGAAGCTTATCGTGTAATTTCAGAAGACAGCTGCGGCACACAGCTCTCTACAGCCAATGGAATGTTATTCTTAAGGGTTACTTCTTCCCGAAAACTTTATAAGAAAGAACGTTTGACCAAAGAATGAACTATTTGATGTTAGAATGCAATCCACCTCAACTTCATGATAAAGAATTAGGTATCAAGATCGTGGTAAGAGGTATTCAAAGCTATTCGACACTGTCTGGGCAATTTACACTATTACGTTTACTTCAATTTTATTATCATCTTAGAAAGCATTTAGGTTAAAAATAACACAGCATTTTCCTTTTAGATTTTTGCTATTTTAACTTTCACAAGCAATGAATGAGTTAAGATGACTGAAGGAAATGGAGGACGGTTAAAAATTGGAGGTAGGGAAATCTAAGACCAGATGAATAGAATATGAGTTTGCTCAAGTTCAATTCTTCAGTAGTTTTCTCTGTAATTTGAAGGTGCTGTTGAGATTATTAGTTATATAGATAGTATCATAGTTCTCCTTGCCTCGCCTTTGGCAGAAATTAGTTGTAACAGTCAGAGAATAGTCACAACTGGCAGGAATTAGCAAAGTTATTCGAAATATTGTATTGATGAATAATGTTTAGTAATTTATTAAATTGCTTTTATTAAACTGAAAGACATTTCTTACCCAATAAGCTGCTTTCAGACCTATAGTATCAGCAGTACCGTCAACTAAAAGTTTAGGTTTAATCTATGAAAGATAAAAGATTATATATACATATACAGAATACACATACTTAGATATTACACATAAATATGCATATATATAATACATCTTTATACTCAGATTTGTTAAGACGAAGTCAAATTTCTTAAATCTTCTGTGTTCTTGTACTACCTCTCTAAAAGTTTAACCATTATACAACCTCTCATATAATAATTTCTGGTTACATTCTTTTCTACATAGAAGGGCAGGAGCTCCTTCTGTGAAATATTTCCTTCCAAAATACAATATAATGATGGAAAATAATTAGAAAAATTGTTTCAACAGAAGTTTTCATTATTATAATATTTTAGTTAAATTTTGTAAAATATTTCACTCTTTTTACTCTTAGGTCTATATTATTTTTACACTTTGCAGAAGCCCACCAGATTTTGTGATCATTCTTCAAAAGTTACTTTTTTACTTCACTTATAGCAGTGAATATCCATTGAAATCCATTTGGTTTTCGTTAAGTCTCATACAAAATATAATTAAAATAAAAACTACATAGCTTTTCCAAGGCAGTGGGCTGTTCTATGCAAAATTAGGAAGAAAGGGTGTAACCTTATTTTGGCAAATATAAGCTTTAAATGGCATTGGCTGTATGGTTATTTTTTGATTTTCTGTATTCGTAAAATATGGGCCAGATTTCCTTAGAAATTCCTTCACAAAAGTATCTGTCCCCTTAGAGAAAAAGCTCTTTCGTTCTTTGTCACATTTAAGTAATCTAACCTAAGCGTTTTAACAAAAGAAAACATACTTTTGAGATGTATTTTGACTGAAAGTTTGACCATCAATGAATGCTTACTCTCTACTGTACCTCCTATGAATGAATCTTCAACTCTTCTGCAACATGATGAATGAATAGAGCTCTCCATACACATTTCGAATTTTCAACAGCTATTTTTATCGGCTTTCTGGAATATTCTAAAAGTTTGCATATACAGTTGCATTTCCCTCTCTGTCCTTAGCTACAAGACCGATGCATCATGATTTTGAACTTCCTACACGTAATCTAAACGATCCGTTGATATTTAAAAATTAAAATGGTAATGGCATTGGGAATGAGTTATATAATGATGAATTGAATAAGTCAGTAATTATGTAGTAAATGCTGTTGTTAAGCCTCGTAAACTAACGCAGTCAGATCTAAGTGATTTGGTTTATGATCGTAGTTTATCTCAAGTTGAATAACATTACTCGTTGCAAGATTTAAAGAATACAAAAAGAACTAAAATTTGTTTCTTCCGTCTAAATAAAAAAGGATTTGGACATGATTTACCTGTATAAGAGACTCAAGAGCTTTCAAAATCTGTCAGTAATGGTTAGGTTAAAGCACAGGTCGGAAGAATGACGTTATAAGGTTATTATTATTTAAATTAAGAAGTTATTATGATTATTGTTACACCTTTACTATAACGTCTCCTTTCCGTTTACTCACCAGAGTGCAAATCAATTTGAAAGTATTTAAACTGAGGTTTTTAAATTGTAACATAGAGCATATTTCTTAGCTCCGAAAGTTCGGACCAGATTGTAATTATTCGGCTTTACGTCACAGCTGCCGTTATTTGAGTTGTTACACCGGTTAAAGTTCTGAGCCAACTCAGTGTTATACTGTGTGGTATTCTATTTTAAGTTACGTCCACAAGTGGTGGTTGATCATGTCAGGTAGGAGAAGTGCGTTTACGTTTTTAAATAAAAAGGTTTGTTTAAAACCTTTTGAAGACTTTGTAGCTCATTTCAGACACAGCGTTAATTCGCTATAAGAATTCGATGCTAGTTTATGCTCCCAAAGTAAGTCAAACTCTATAACGTATATTAGTTGCTTCCTTAGACCTAGCTTAAAAGCAGCGCTGACTCATGAAGGGTAACAATACCCATCCGTTTCCATTACCTATATAATTAATATGGAAGAAAATGTCGTATGAACACACGAATTTTGGACTGTACATTATACAAATATGAAAACTATTTTTGGAAGCTAAGTAAGGATTTGAAAGCGAATGCCTTCTTACTTGGATTGTAATTAAGAAACTAAATTTTTATGTTTCCAAACTTATTTTCAAATCATTTAGATTGGATTTTAGGAAATATTTTGAAAATATTTCAAGAACATTATACAACATTCAGAACGACACACAGTGGTCTCAGAAACACTGACCTAGTAAAATTTGGAATATAAGAAATTCTGACAATCGTCATAAATTTCATTTTAAAGTGTTAATATATCTTTAATTATCCATTGCAACATCAATAAACTTACGATCCTGGCATCAAAGAGAGATATTCATCTCTATATCAAAACCCGTCTAAACTAGTTTGTCGGTAAAACTAGACAGAAGACATACTTAAACTAGTAAATATAAATATAAATAGACATACTTAAACCCATCTAAACTAGTTTGTCGGTAAAACTAAACAGAAGACATACTGAAAGAAAAGCTAAATTAAAATTTAGCTTTTCAGATACTCAGCAGTTTTATTTCTCATAAGTTTTTAGAAAGGAACTGAAATATTTCTTATCGAATTACTACCTGCTCATTATTATTTTAACGATCTTTCAAATAGTAATTTCTCTGCTTATACTCTGCTTCCTGTTTAGGAAAAATCAGTCTTCGATTATTTTAATTATTTCAGTCAATAGTGTGTTGCATTCTGCAGATTATCTTGTATAATCTAAATTACCTACATTTTGAATTCTTTTATACTTTGAATAATATATCATTACATCAAAAGCTGATAAATCTTTTCAAGTTATTTTTTATTAAATTTTAATATTTAGTAGAATTTAATAAATTTTAATCTAGCGATCCCTATTCAATTAAAGTGTAAGAATATAAATAATCAAATTATGCAAAGAAACGCTAAAGAGAAACACAGATATTGGGAAAATTAAACATAAAAATTCTAATAAACCCAATATAAGCAAAAGCCATATTTCATTTTTCACTTAAGCCGACCTCGTTCGAAGGGCCATTTTTTTCAAAATGTTTGTCATATTTCTAAATTTATAAGATTTTCTTTTTTGGATTGCACTCACATTTAAATATAACAATTGTAAAAGTGATTAAAAAATTCATTATTTTTTTTAATTATACAAAAAACTGAAAACTTTAGATTCGAAATTTACAAAATCATTAGCCATCACTGACAAGAAAATAATGATGATATAAACACATTTTTGACTTTATGTTACGAAAAGCCCAGCTGCGGTAAAATAGCTTCCCCGCAAAGCGGGTTTATGGTTGCCAGAAAATGGCAAGGAATGGAAGGATTTGGCACGAAATAGTCCATTTGGCAGCATTTGCCGACAAAATTGGCGATATCTATGGACGGAGCGAGAACATTCTAGAACGAATTTTTACCGGTTTTCCCCAGAATGTTCTTGAAGACAGGTCAAAAGCTATAAATACCCTGCCTGTACGCCGAGTAGCAGTTTATCGTGAAGAGTATCTTGAGGGCATGAGTTCAGTAGAAATGCTCTGAGTTCAGAGATTAACTTAGGAACTGATCGACAGAGTCGGAAATTGTACTTTAGTGCTTTGTCATGAAGCTGTCTTCGCCGTATAGTCTGATAGTCGGAAGGCTGTGTTGTTAATTATTTCAGCGTGTTTCAATTAGTTTTTCGAAGGCTGTAAATGTGTCTTTGGAACTCTCCTGTGTAATACGGACGAATAAATTGTGTTTTGAATCTTTATCAAGCGTTGTCATCAATCACTCCAAATCCACCAACCCGTAGAACGCAACAGTGCTAACCATAGGCATACAGTGAAGTAGAATAATTGGAAGATATTGATTTGCAAGTAATATACGGCCAAATACGTTAGTCGACACTCAAAAAAATTAAAAGAAAATACAAACATTATTGAAGGAAAAATGATATAACTTAAATTCTCTAAGCTTAATTTTTTAACTCCTATTCTACATCATGCATTAAAATGTACAAACTCTGTGTGCAAACTTCAAGTGATTCTATAAGGAACTTTTAGAGTTATTGTGAAAATAAGTTATAAAAACATTATCAAAAATCGAATTAAAATTTTTTCAGATTAAAGTTGCATGTATAAGACATATATACACAAGTATTCACGTTGCCGAATGAAAATGAGAAAACAAGTGATAAAAATACTTTTCTAGATTCTCCAGACATAAAGAAATGATTAAAATTCTTTAACTAAAATATAACATAAAAGAGGGTGAAAACTGAATTTTTTATTTGGTCATTAAACTTGACTTCCAGTGTGGCAGACAGTAACCTGGTTTGCCGTCTCTTAGAAAAACTGGTATTTCTTTACTTCTAATCAGCATATCAAGAAAATACAAGTCGTTTTTGATAGCTAAACATATGATCTTTAAAAATGTTGAATAAAACAAAAATTGAGATCATTAGTCAAAATCGGCTTTTCGAACGGGTTCGGTTGCCTTAAAGTAAAATAATAATATAATTCCTAACATACGAATCAGATATTAAATCATTGTCCGGTAAATGATTTCATTATCAAAGCCTTAGTAAAGTTAAAATAAGGAATACATTTTCCTTTGCATTTTCGTCTTTGTTTGTTTAATATTTCGTTAAGACTGGAAAAGAGTGTACAAATATATTATATATGAAAACATTTAAAACAATTTGTTTTTCGCTTGTCTCATTAATTTTCTCATATTTGTTGAAGAAGAAAATCTAATGTTTCTTACCTTAGGTGTGAATGCACCAGCTTTCATTGCGTAGTTCTTGTATCGTTCTATGATACACCCAGACTTTTCTCTATATTTTCTGCTAGCATGTCTGTTCCACCATTTTACATAATTACCCTTTCTATCAAACCTGCGACCTGAAATGTTAATACCAGTACCGACTTTAGTACAGGTGATAAAACATAAACACCTTTTCCACTTTGTTTGAAGTAATCTTAAGTACGGCAATTATTGTCTTAAATGATCGTCATATAAATTCGCAACACACATGATTGTCTTCCAAATTTAGGTATAGAATAAATGACTCTAAGCACTCGAAAAAACTGGGGAAATAATTTGAAACAGATATGTAAATTCACCGCAGGTTTATGAGTTCATTCATAGCTAATTTTGTTATAAAGACATTCTTCAACACAGAATTTAGAAATTGCTTGGAATTAACGGTATTTAAACTATTTGCGAAAATAGCGCACTCAAATAAATATAATAAGTGTATGCTGTGAGAAATTAGAGATAGAATCGCATCTTGTCACACAATTTTCTAAAAGCTTATTGTCATTTCAAAAATTTTATAGCGATACTACGAATCACATCTAAACAGGAAAGAACTTAGCTAATTAGAAATCGTCTAAAAATTTTAGAAACTGCGAATGTTGCGTAAAATGGTAAATATTCATTATGTTACATTGACGTTCATGGTTTAACAATTTAAAATATTAGTTTCATCATTACTGTCTACTAAATTAAGAAGCATCAGTTAATGTTTATTTCTGATTCTCCTGATCACGAGAAATTTTTATGGGTTTCAGCACATGGATTAGAACTGTCAAAAGTAGATAACGTATTAATATTATGTGTTCTTTTACTTCAAGTAATTCTTGACCTATTATTTTTGAGTAGGATTTAGATGAGCGTACTTGCAAAATATTCAAATCACTACCTTAATTCAGGAAGCAGATTTTTTCACAAGAAGAAGATGCGGGGATTATTTTAATTTTATAATAGTTATTTTTAATTTTGAAACCCTTTACTTCAAATTTTTGTTTTCCACCTACATCTCCCTGCAAGAATGAGCATCGCATTTTATGTAAGTGAAGTGGAACCAGTATTTAATGGCATCAGTCACTCCCGTAGAAGAGCTCAGAAGTTCTCAGTAGAGCGTATTCTACCTTCGGGCCACGTCGTTGTTTTAACTCTGTCTTACTACGTACGGCCGTGGTCTTACGTGCCTGTTAGTAGTATTTGCCGGTGAAATTTAATTACGGGCCTTCTCAGTTAGTTTACTTTGTACATCTTCGGCTAAGGTTTAGCTACTTAGAATTAGTTTAGTTTTTACTTCCTTGTACGAAGTAAAAAGGAAGTATTGTAATCGCGAAAAGTTTCAGGCAGCATATTTCAACGAAAATATCCATTTTGACCGCTATCGAATGCAATTTAACGATGTTTTTGCGTGATATCTGTACGTAAGGACAGAATAAAAGACTCGTTTTCCCCCAAAAAATTATAAAACTGCTTTAAAATTAATTCTGAAGAGAATTTTTCGTGGCGTCTGTACGAACGTAACGTACGTACGTATCTCGCATAACTCAAAAAACGAGTAGCCTCAAGAACGTTAAAATTTTGTATATAGGACTGCTATAACATGTAGATGTGCACCTCGTATTTTCGTTTCAATCGGCCGCACCAAACGTATATAAATATGTTTATATATATATATCCATTCTGTCACCCCGGCTCAGTGATCTCAGTTTTCTTTACTCTTATATGTTTGTAAATTGTACATTTTTTTGCTTTAAAAATGATTGAATTATGTTGTTTTTATCTTCAGGTTAAGGTTTTTATATGCCTTTAGTAAATCTGGTGTGCAATATTTTTAGAATTATCAACAATTTTAAAGTTGTTTAAAAGTGCCGCTAAGAAGCCTCTTTTTTTGATGGCGGCCATTGCTTGTTTACATTTGAAACAGTTGACTAGTGGATTTGTTGCCAATCTAGAGAAAACTTAGCTTCGCAACAACAAAGATAACGCTTTCATTTATTATTGCCAATTAAATCATGCCAAATCCTTTCTGGAATTTTTTCGAGGAAAATAGTGTTTAAGATATACTTCGTAATTTTTAATATAGATATTTGTTTGAGTTTTTATGTATTTTTTTTGTATTTTTGCCTTCTCGTGAAGTGAGAATTGAATTAATTGTATAAGAAATACTCAATCGTCTGTGAAAAACTGTTTTTCTTTTTTTTTTTTTTTTTTTTTGCTTAATTTCTTTTTATACATCATACATCATTCTAGCTTTATTATAGTATTTGAATAGAACATGTGGCAAGGATTAGATAATTCTATTCTTTAAATGATATAAATTTTGTGCATTATGAGTTATAATATGAACGAAATATAATACTGAAGGGGAGTCATCAGTTTTGCGCAACACAAAAAGTGCGAATTTTAGCTGATTTTCGAGTGTTAATAAGTCAAATTGTTTTTGTCATACATATATGAAATTTTCAGTGTGTCATCTTTATACATAGATGATTATCTTTCTTGATTTATTTTACTTAATAATGTATAAGAATTTGTTTTATAAAGAAAAAACTAACTGTATTTTCCGAAAATTTAAAATTTGTACTGAAGCACTGAGCGCAAACTGACAGTAATTCAAATTTAGTTACAGTAATAATTTTTAAGTGAATCTAGCGCCAGAGCGTCGCTATGGTAAACAAATACTAGAGTGAATTTTAAAGAATGAATTTATTCTATTGTGGTTTATGCGCTGTCGGCGAAGTAGACTTAATTCAATCAATAAGTTTAAATGAAATGCAAGAAAAATGCGTATAATTTAATATTCCGTACAAGGAAGTCATGTGGTGTACACATCAGATTTTTTATTTTCTATCTTGAAGTTAAAGCATAAGTGGAGGCTTTCCGTTAAGCCCGAGAGAGCCGTTTATTAGTATTTCTCTGAGTGAATAAAAAGATATTTTAACCCTCTTTCAGACTTATATTTTATAATTGTAAGAAGACCAGCGAATAATCTCTAGATACTTTCCTAAAGTTCTAGTAGCTAAGGACACGTAAATTAACTAGAACTTTATAAGAATTAATAAAGCTACCTATTCATATTTTCCGATGGTATAAGGTTTTCCCTTATACATACAGTCCATTCACAATAAGCGTACACCAAGCAGTTTTCGCTTTTCTGTTTTCAAGTAGTAAAAATTAGGCATGGGAATACGATATTTATTCGCAAACCGCAACGCCGTTAAACACTTCAAAATTCGAACCTTAGCCCTTCCTTTTGAAGCAGAAGAAAAGAGATGTAGATCGGACCCATGATTTTTCTGTTCCACTCACAGACTACCCCTATTTAGTTTTACGGCTGCTAATGATTCAGAAATTCTGTAGACCCTTCCAGTAAAGTATCCATAAACAAATCTAAGTTTTAAAGATTTTCATTACAAATTTCTTTGATAAAATTAATACAATATCTTTCGTTTTTTAATATTTTTTATGTTTTTGAATAATATTATTAAGTTTCATTACTATATGAAATGAAATATAATAATTAAATAATTACTTTTTTTGTAAATTGAGTAGTTTTAATTTACCATATTTCATACATATATTTTATCTGCATAAGAGTTGCGCTATTGTCACCTCTGTTATCTATTATAATAGCGCCATGTCATTTTATGTAACGCACAGTACCGCGAATAACTTTTATCCACTCACAGGTCAAAATTTCAACAAATAACCGACTCTATATCTCTCGCTACTGCTGAATGCATATTTATTTTCTGACTTTCCTTTGCTCTGCTAACGCGTTGCGGCTAAGTTCTGTCTATCCTGCATTGTCTGAAAATGTAAGCTTCCAAAAATTGTAGTTGCATATTGCACCCATGATAATGTGAGAATCTGAAATATGCTTGATAAAGTATCAAGAAACAAAATTACGTGATGTATTTATTGCCACGTCTATCTGCAAGTTCCTTCTTCGTTACGCATCATTCAAACTTCACAGTAAAAACAAATTCCTAAACCAATTACAGTCCTTAAGTATTTAATATAGAAAACACTTTACCTTTTCCAACGAATGCACGTGCAAGCTTACGGGCAATCAGGGAACCTAGGGCTCCGAAATTTACGAAGCTGAAACAAATACCAAGATGAAATGAATACCAAGATGCTTTTAACATTTAAGGATACTTAATATGAAGTCATTTTCTGACAAATAAGTGAAGTTCACTTGCATTTAAATTTAATGTAGTATTGCATACTTACTTTGGTCTGTCATAGATAAAAAATGGCCCTTGAATTATTCCCGCACGTAAAACTACAAGAAAGAAGAATGATCTGTTGAATAATAGCACTAAAAATTTGATTTACTTCAAATTAAACTCAGATTAGGTTAGGTTAGGCTATCTGAATAAACAAAGAACACGAGGGATAACTGCTTGAGTCTTCATGGAGGATGTTTTAAGAGAAATAGCTCGTGCCTACATATCACATGGAGATAACCATGAAAATTCCCAAACAGGAAGTTCGTTCGCCGGGATTTGACCACAAAAATTGAACTCAGAGTGTCCAGAAAGTTTGGTGCTTTTGGGAGTCAGATTTAATTCAGTGTTTTCATATTTTATTAATGAATCCGGAAACAATTTGTTTTTACTAATTAATCAATTTTATTCAAAAATAGGAAAAAATTCACTTTATTCAAACAATTCACAATCTATTACCATTTTATTGTATCATAAATGTAAATATATTTTATACAATACGTATCCTTTCTTTATTTTATGTAGGCAAATTTACATCGATAAAAATTTGTTTTTGGCAAAGAGTTTTTTAAAACAGTTAACAGATAAAAAAGAATGAGTAGTAATCAAGTATTTAGCAAAACGTTAGAGTTAATAAAAAGATTTCACACATTTTAATAGAATTTTGCCCTTTCTGCAAAGAAATACTACAGTCGCGGTTTTAAAATTAACAATTTTTTAAAAAAATAAAACTGCTGTACAAATTCGGGCAGTATTAAATAAAGCACATATTTTTTGTGATTGATCATAAAATAAAATTTAAAATCAAAAGTCTGAAAATGATCACCCACAAAATATGTTCAAAAGGTAATGTTGATAAATAGCTACTATTTGCGTTTTGAAAGAGGACATTTTATGGAAATTAGAAGAATAATCCTATTTAAGCAAATGAGATCCTTTGATCAGGGATTCTCAACCGGTGGTACGCAAAGATGCAAAATATTTCTAACTATTAAATTCAAAAATTAAAATCCCAACATCCTGACTGAGTTTTCTCTCTAACACTCGTAAATTTATGCGATCTGAGCTTTGTTCAAAAGTGGTGATGGTAGTAGTACTTTCTAGTGGTGGTACTAAAGGTTTTCAATTTTTGTTTAGATGGTACGCGTTAGTCAAGAAGTTCAGAACCGCTGCTCTAGATGAAACATGTGAAGATTTATATATTCATTTTGACTAATAGTTAAGTTCTAGTTAAAGCAGCTTTCCTGTCGCTCTCCTTTTCACTCACTCCTTTCCTGCCTTTAGATAGCTCGCGTTTATTCAGGTAAAGGAAGACAGAAGTTCTATTTAAGCGAAGGTTTCGCAATTATTTATTATATAGTTCTAGTATTATAGTATCATAGCTGATTTTAGAGTATGTTCTGCCACCTTGAGGCCACGTTGTTTTCGTGACTTATTAGCGATTTGATACTGTGGCGCCGAGTGCTTCTAGCCATTAGGCTTGTCTCGCCGCCTTGTACGAGCCAGAACCTTCCTGCTCGTTTACTTTTTTTGTAAGCCGTTGCGCTAATCTAATTACATTTAAGTTCAACATTACTTGTTCAAGTTAAGCCAGAAGTATTGGCTTATGTAAACCCAGTGGGGTAGATTGTCAATTCTTTGCAATCTAAAAAACTGCTATTTACACCCTTCTTCTGACTTTGTCTACCTGTTGACCTGAGGTAAAGTAAAAGACCTGAGGATAATTCCTCTACAGTCGTTCTCAAGCTCACGAGTTTATGTTACCGAAGAATACGAAACTCTATAAACTTAAGTGATTATATACATTTAACTCGAAAAAATGTAAGAGTTTTCCATGTCGTATTCTTTTTCTTCACTGAAAAGTTCAGTTTTTATTTCAGAAATTTAATTTTTACAGGAATAATATGTTTTTTGGATTATATCTCCGTTATAAGAAATCCGATCGTCTCCTGTTATAAGAAAATTACCAAGGTTTCGAATTTAAACATTAATAATAAGGCAAGAAAATTATAAGAGTGAATTTCAAAAGGAAGAAGAAAGAGGTCACCAATTCTGTTCTTCGTATAATCATAAGTGATTTTTTCAATTCCATAACTCCTCCTCCTGGAAAAAAAAGTATCGATTTTAAACACAGTTTTTTTGTTCTTAACATCAGTCTTTTGCGCCACAAACTTTATTTTCAAATCATTGATGAAAATTTGAGTTTGCGAATGAAAAATAATGAATAATAGAGAAAATATCATGTTGTGTATATTACATTTTTCATTTTTATTAAGTTCCTCAAAAGATAGTACAAATGTAAATATAATAAAATATGAAAGGAAAGTAATAACGTTAATCAGATTTAAAATATTACGTACTTATCTGTTTTCTTAGGACTTCGAAGCAGAGATAAGCTTTTATCAGTTAACCACTTGCGAATTTTCAGTACATTAGTCAAATGATTGTCTGTCTTCTGAAAATTTAACTGGAAGAAGAACTGGGAATTAAAAAAAAATTAAATTTAAGGATTATCTGAAAATATAATTACAACTTACTTACCTTTTTATATAAGCCATTGATGTAAGATTCGTTCAAAAGTTCTCTCCTATAGGCAATATGGAAACGTACATCTCGGACCTATACAACGTAAACAGATTAGTATTTTTGTCAACTCCGGAAACCTTTTGATGACTCATGTAACAAATATATTATTTTTAACTGTGTCCGAGATTATATATTCAAGATGAATAATAGTATTCAGAGATTGGAAATTAAAAAAAATCTCTTTTGACAGCTTGTAAAATATACAAGATATTTCGATAAAACCGTTGGATTAAATATCATTTGAAAGATTTATAGCAAGCTTAAAGTTTCAATTTAGGAAATGAATCAAAGTTAGCTTTGGGAGCTATTAGTAAAGTTTGGGAGTTATAGTCTGTTACTTTAAATAAGCAACTTCAAGGTTTTTTTCCGCCCCCCCCCCGATTGAATCGTAATCACGAGGACAACAGTTGCGAGAAAAAAGGTCGAGTCGTTTATTTTCTTTTGCACTGCATTTCTGTTTAACCTATTTCGCTTCATGAGAAGCACAGGAATTAAAACTACAGTCTCAAATGATGTGGAGAAAATATATGCTTGGTGCTGTGCAGTGATGAAGACGCTAATTACGATCGCGAATGGCAACGGTCTTGAAATGCCTATTTTAAAGTAACACAACAGAGTATGTTAGTTTTGAGCATGGTTTGAGGTTCAGAAAATGTATCCATTTGTACTTTGCTTGGATATTCTACAAAGAAATACTAATTTATAACTTACGCTCCTTTTATTATTATTATTATTAAAAACCTATTTGAAAAAAGAAAAGATCTGCAACTTTTTATATAACAAAATACAAATACTTTTTACATAACAAAATTTCAGATTTATTAAAACTACAGATGAAAACGAATACTCTTAGAGATCGCATAATACAGAGAGTATAAAAATTCAATAAAAATTTCAAAAATTCATAACCAATAAACGAATCGATATAGAGACAATTTGCTCCAAATCCATGTTATTACAATAAATTGGAATTTATTTGACAACAAGCAAACATTTAGTTCAAAATTTCAATGATAGCTAGGCTTCTCACTAAGAAACACAGGCGTGCAAATGAGATTAGCTTTGTAAGAAAATATTCATCTAAGAAACCTTAGTTTTTGCTTTAGTTTACGTTCATAGATTTTAATGGTTACAGTTTGAGTTTATTTGATAAGACTTTACTGGTATAATTCATTTACTTATAAAGGAAATCAGTTGTTTTATCTTTACGATTTTCTACACAGAGATCGATAAAAATATGATAACGTCAATAACGCTATTACAGAACTAAAAGCTTCTGTGTCGTTTCAAGGAAAAAAAAGTTTTGCTGACCACAGTCCCAAAGGCAAACCGTCGCTGACCTAATCTGAAATTGCATAAACAACGAGCCTATCCCATTCATCAGTGATTTGGATATTGTATGATGATTCACAATTTGCAATTTTATCCTGGAAGCTACAATTGCTGGATCAGCTGTAATCAAATGATATAACCGGGAGAAATTCGCCACATGGGCAATGAAAAACTTTTCTGACGATCCTCAATGGATTCTGAACATGAAAGCATATTTTTTTTTTTTTTTTTTGCGCAGAATTTAAATATCTGTGACTATCAGTCCAACTTCGTACTTAGATGAGTTATTATGGACCTTGGAACTTGCTGAACACCTTCGAAGCAACCACATCAAGCAACTTCCCTGTTAACTACGTTTTGTCTTAAGTGACTAATCAGCCGCTCATGCCCTATTGCATAGTTTCTCAGATCGCCGGCTATTGGATCGTGAGTGTTTGGTTGATGAGCTAAATGAAAGGTTTGGTGCACACCTGCAATCTATCACTCTTAACATAATTAAAAGACACAAAAAATCCGATATATATAAAATTAATGTGAAATGCACATTTATTCTCCTGGAGGTTATTCTTTTAAATTTCAATGGAAAGGAGACCTTTACAATGAAAATATTATATTCCAAGTAGCAGCATTAACCATTATAAAGCAACTGATTATTATGTAAACAATAATATTTTTCATTCAGATATCTATACTGATAGTGTGACAGTACTTTCTGCAATTTTAAATTATTCACAGACACCACCATTACTTTATAAGATTCAGCAATTATTACGAAACAGTGAAAGGATTCGTGTAAATATCTCCTGGATTAAAACTCATGCTGGATCACATGGCAAGAGTTGCGGATCGGTTAGCAAGAAAGATCGGGGAAAATTATAATGCGGAATACTCTTCTATTCCTTGGCCTAGATCATTTCTTAAAAATATCTATTGACAGTCTCACTAAAAAGAGGAATTTTTGTGAACAGGGTAGAGGAATCTTTAATTACCTACCAACAATTGATCTAAATTGAAAAATTACTATTCCACAGTTATCAGACCACGTACATTACTTTACTACACTGGCACTATTTAGTTTCAGAACTTCGTGCAGAAGGGTTCCACATTGACAAAAACCATACCATAAAATTCCTAATCTGTAAAAATATGGGACAAATGAGCAAACTATCCAAACAAGGAATCAAAAGGCTAAAAAGACCTTGTTTGTGAAAGTACCTCCAAACACAACTGGAGAGAAGACAGAAAGTCATGTGATAGATACTGGAAAGAAAAAATCTATGGTTTAGAAGGAGATATGATCACTCCTGACTGAAATACAGGACTTACGACGTCTGTACAGTTGAGGACAAGGTTGATAAGGAACTATAGAGGCATCGCAGCCCATTTCTCTTGTAGCGACAATTGAAACTGCAGAATCGTTACTGGCGGCTGACCACATGCTGCCAAGTGTCTCTCGAGAAAATCCCACACATATTCTATAGGATTTAGGTCCTAGGCCCTTGCAGGCCAATTCATGCATTGAATTTCTCATTGTCCCAAAACTCTGCAATAGCTAATGTACGATGAGCTGTAGCACTGTCGTTCATGAAGAGGTAGTTCGGACACACAGCACCTCTAAACAAACGCAAGTGAGGTAAAAGAACCTCCGCACGATAGCGAACAAACACCATTGACTGAATCTCCTTGGAAGATGAGGAGTTCAGTACAGCTACCAAACATGATACCAACCCAAACAAAAAATCAGGTACCTTCAAAACGATCTCTTTCGATGATGATGAAGAGATCATTGTGTCTTCCCCTGTCTCTGTAGCTATGCATGTATTCAGAATCGCTTGTCAGATTAAATTGGCTCTCATCCGTGTAGAGCACTTGGTCTCATTCATGTTTATTCAGGTCATATGTTCCTATCACTACAGAAACTGAATCTGCTATGAGCAGATGTTAATGGCGCACATGATACCGGCCGTCGTGCATATGGATCCAGTTTCGCAGCTGTGCACGGTAAATCGTGATATCGGATGTCCATTAGTTTCTTGCCTGTGCATTGCGATTCCTCCTGTCAATGCTTGAACAGCTGTTGCTCTCATTTTAAATGCTCTCTAGGCATGTGGAACGATGCTGTGAACGATCCTGAACTCCTCTGCCACATTTGCCACACTTTGATCTTCCTCCAACTTCTCGACGTGATCTCGGGTAAAGTCATCCGTATGACGTCTCCTGGATTGCCTGTTGGTCATGTCACACAACAGTAGCAACTCGACGCCAGTGAAATCACTATACACTTTACAAAAGCTTTCACCTTATTGCTTTCACACCAGTGTACTTTATATACCCTTCCAGAAATCCTTCCACTAAGTCATATGGCAGTGTACCGGTCCCATATATACCTCTTATTGCTCTTTCTATCTGTTTTGTTGCCTTATTACGCTTTTATGCTAAACTCTCCGCATTCTTCTTAATTTTTATACACAAGTGTATAAACATATATTTACCAATACTGGTCCTTATGTACGTAGAGACACTGGATCTTCAGATCATTTCGTAATGGAATGTCCCTTAACATAACAATACTATATTTAATTCCTCGCAGCTAATATCATATTTTTCAAAAGATTTCTTATTAAGCAAAGACCTCTTGTTCTTAAAATTTGTAAAGTTATGAATCTGCTTTCTGCTCTGGGAAAATATATTTACCATTCCTCTTATTGATTATGCATATAATACTAGCATATTTACTTCTTCTTTTAAAATTTAATTATTTTATTTATAAGCTCACACATAGTAACCTTAATTAATGAGCATAAATTGTAAAGGCTTGGTTAAGACGTTATGATACTTTTTATGATCGATTTTATGCATATGTGATTGAACTTTATGAACTCCATGAACTGTGGGCTTTATGAACTTTATTTTTACTACAGCGGTATTTTATTTTCGTATTATATTCCTATTTCATGTAAATATATTTCAATATTTATATATTGCCCACCAACTGCCAAGTGGTAAAAGCAGCTGAACGCTGATAGTTGGTCGAAGTTTCCAGCGAACGGGCTGGCTGCTTGGACGTTTCTGTGGGTTTCCTCATGTGTAAAGTGAATACGAGTCAATTTCTCTTAAAAAGTCCTTCACGGGGCGTACCTTCCTTGCCGTGTAGTACCTAACGCCGGAGCACATATAAAGTAATAATAATAATAATTATTATACAACTAAACTATGTCTTGTTATACGATAAATGTTAATAATTCGTTTATCATTATTTAAAATAAATCTAGTTCATGATGAATGAGGGACAATATCTGTTAACCATTTCAATGACCAGCTGTTCCCATTCATCATCCCCTAAACTGAACTGTGATAAATATAAAACCAATACCTCTAATAATATGTTTCATCCTAATGATAAAAGTACAGTTGACATTTGACTTTCGCACAATTCCCTATTTCGCATATTTTTAAAATCCCATATTTTAAAGCCTTTTGTTGATACTGCAAACATTATAATTTAAAACTGAAATCAATGTTAGTTTATCGAGTATAAAACACAGAGCATTAAAAGAGAACGATAAAAAAACTTATTTCAGTCATATGGAAATCAAATAAAGAGCTCAGGTAACTGACTTAATATTTAAAGATTTGTTCACTTTTCATTTCGTGCCGACGGTTAAGCAATATTGTAAAACTAAAAAAAATTATATTTTAAAGCATTAAATTTTAGACAGTGCTCCAGGGCACCCAAAATCTCTGCAGAATTAATCCCAGAAATCGATGTTGTGTTTCTTCCTTCCAATACTGCCTGCCTCATTACAGCCCATGGATCAAGGAGTAATTGTTATATTTAAACGATATTATATAAGGATAATAAGGAAGCACACCATCAAGACAACTGCCAGGTAAGGAGGACCTACATTAAGAGATATTTGGAAGAACTCTAATACATGGAACACGATAAAAAAAACGGATATTATAGAATAATTAATATTAACTAAACTTTCAAACATTTATTTTGTAAGTAGAGATTTAAAATTCAATGCTATTTATATAAATGTTTGTTTACGAACTAACAGTAGTATTTAATACGCATTTTGCAAAATATAACATAACTAATTAATTAAAGAAAAAATATGCATAATAATAATCTTTGAATGAGGTATTAATATTTGTGATGTTGAGTTCAACAAAAATATCTCGCTAACTTTTGTATCTTTAAAATGAGCATTTCAAATCGGTGAAATCATTAAAAGTTTAAAATAAATTTTCTTCATATAAGAGAAAAGAGATAACAGTATTAAAATATTATAAACTACATTCCCAAAACAGCTTAGTTAAATTAAAATGCAGATTATTTATGGCAAATACTTTCTTAGGCTCTGTATTTAAATCTGTACTTTGGAATTAAAAAAATAATCATTATTAATGTCTTGGAAAGTAAATCACTTTTATCCTATGATATTTTATTGTTTGAAATATTATAAGCATAAAATATAACCTTTTCTATTGCTTTTCTCTTAGTATGTGCATCCATCCAAGTAGAATTTGATAGCACATTTATGAATCCTGCTCGAATGTATTCCGTCATATTCAGTACCTGAGGGAAGATAAAAGGAATTTAAATAATTTTATATTATTAATAATTAACTTCTTCAAAACTAACATAAATCTATAATTTATATGGTAATGAATCTCATAAATATGCTAAATAACGAAGTTTTAAGCGATTAAACCATTTTGAAACATTATAATTCTTTCAAAATGATGTTGAGACCTTAGGTATTTTTTTTGGAACCAGGCAAGATGAAAGATATGCCACGTCTTCGCCTGGAATCGAACCACGGACCTCTGGAATACGCGTACAGCTGGCAGACCACCACACCATGAAGGCATGCCAGAAGGTGGGAGAAATACCTTATAAGGGTTTAAAATGTTTTCAATATTTTAAGTATTATTTTTATGTTTACGTTACTGTTAAAAATACTATTTTAAATTTATACGTAGATAATTCTGCAATTCTAGGTTAATTGCTTAGTTAATAACTGTTAAAAATGAGGGAAAAAATGACATATTTTAATATGCATTCAAATATGCTTATTGAAAGCAAGTACGATATACGAACCGAAAAGAAAAATACTTGCTCATGTTTAATATGCCACAATAAAATCCCCATGCGCCTGATGCGGTGCAGATTGCTTATATGCTCCCCGGAGACATCAACAATGTTAGGCTCCCCCTTAGTACTCACTGCTGAAATAGTTAGTCACGACCACCGTCCCAGGGGTTAGAGACCACGATGGGGTGGGTATAGAAAATTTGGAGCTTTAACTGGCCGTTGATTGATGCTACCTGCCAGTACTACGCGGACAGTCCCTCCCTTCAGGCTTTACACAGAATACCGAGGACAGCAGTGACTGGACGCTCAATGGCCCAGGTGCTATTCGGCTATTGATACCCTAGTTACCAGCGACCTACGTCACCCGGCACGTGAGAGATGGAGATAAGCCTAACTCCCTGGACCATCGGGAGCCTCCAACTTCATAAATTTTATATCCCCGTGGCCGAGACTGCCTAGGTACAGATCCTAGCCAATAGCTTCGCAGAGTACTCTACGTCGACCCCCGGGGGGAATACTTTAGATAAACAAAGACTAACGGCGCATGCTGTATAAAAAGGAAATTCGGATTCACTCATTTGCAACCTTGAATGGTATATCCCTCCCCGCAGTGAAAGAGACTCAAGGAGAGTCAGGCGAACTGACTAACAGACGAAGTCAGGTCTCTTCTCAGGGTAGAAAAACTGCATGCATCCCTCTTGTTCACATAGCCGGTAGTATAAAAGTCACCCTCACACTTCTGACGTGTTAAGGGCAATGATGGTATCCTATCTTCGAGGCCTTTGTGACGCCATTTTTCAATAAAATAATGCACCACCGCCTATTTGTTTTCAGATCTTCGTTTAACTGTAGTCCTAGCTAGCACTTTCTCACAAATAAAACTCATTTGGTCATTAATTGCGGAGATTGGCACATCACTGGTCGCCAGCCACTAGTACTTATTGAACTCTGACATAGAGTTGAAGCTGCATGGAATGAAGTACCCGTGTTTGTTATCCATGCTCAGTTCCATTCCATGCCCAGCCAGATTACAACCGTTTTTGCTGCCAGTGGTCGCAGATCTGTGTATTGAATTCTTCACGCCAAACCAAATTTAATCACGTAAATTTAGTTCATGTAAATTTAATCAATTAAAATTTAATCACATCTTCCTCCCGTTAAACTGTATGTGTACAACAAATATGAATCTGCTATTTGCTTTCGCTCCTGATGTAGCAGTTTTAATGTTCATCAGTACACTTACATTGATGTTCCGTTCTTTTATTTATTTAATTTAAGCTACTATTTTTTTTTGTAATCAAGTTTTTTAAAGAAAACTTGCAACTGCAGTAAAGGGTGGATTCGGGTGGTGCAGCTAGTAGTAAACAAAATTCTATAATCCTAAGCAACTCAGAATGCTGTGAGCTTGTTCAGCTCATATACACATATATGCTGAGAATGTTTTAGATTATTTAGATCATTTGAACATTTGATTGCCATGTTATTAGTTATGATATTTATGGTGACAGCCATTTGCTCATTTACAACTAAGTTACAAGATGATGAAGTAACAAATAAATTAGCATATAACTTCTGTATCTTTAATTCAACAAGCACTACGTATTTCGTAAATTACGTACACACATTCGTTTACAAATGGTTTCATCACTTACCGCTTTCCTGCTTTCTTCTGCAAGATAATGTTGCATGTAATAGGATCTGACGGCCATTCTCATGGTACGACTAAGGAGAGAAACGCAAAATTTCCAGCGATCTTGGTTAGCCTTGTAACAGTTATGCTGAAAAGGGGGTTCCCACCACATCAGAGAATTTTTTTTATAATCGAGGATTCTTGCATGACACGTCAATAACGGCAATGATTGATGAATAACTCTCCATATCATATAGTTTGCCACCGTTCTGAAACCAAATAAGAAAGTATAAATTATTTGAGATATTTTAGACTATATTTACTACCTGTAAAAAAGTAAACCTGCTTGAAAGTACTTTATGAAACATATATAAAAAAGTACCATAAGCAACTGAAACCAGCAATGCGAATGACAAAATAATAGTTTATATATTTCAAGAGTATCTAATATACGTTAGCAAGGAAAAGAAAGAAAGTATGTAAATTGTATTTGTAAAGTTTCTTTGAACTTTTCACAAAATAATTTTATATAAAATCAGGAGTTTTAGTTTTACAGAAACTTATTTGTAAAAAGTTTAAATAGATTTTCTATGCTTTATTTATTAATTGATAAAAAATTTCTTCTTCTTTTTTTTAATGCAGTACCTTAGTGGTAAGATCAGTACTTAGTAATAAAAACGTACATTTGTTAGTAAAGAAATAATTTATTGGTTGAAAAATGTCTTTGTCATTGAAAGAGCTGATCTTTCAAAAGTTAGTTAATTCTAAATGTTTAAAGAAAATTGCAGACTGAAGCGTTTTTCTGATTTGTTTATTAACTGATAAAAATATAATAATTTTGTTTCTAGATTGCAATTAGTTAACTTAGATTAGTGACAAAATATGTATGCTCAGTAAGGAAACAGAAATGAATGAAAAACGTCTTTTTCACTGAAATCTTTTAAACAGGATTTACAGACTCTGTGTTCGATTTCCTTTCTAGTTTTTTAATCATCTATAACATGTGTTAAAAACACGAAGTTTGTTCCATCTTTTAATTCTGGAAGTTCTTGAAACTGAAGATTCTTTCTAAATTTTAATATAAATAAATGTTTTTGTTTCTGTAATGTACTAAGCACGAACATTTCATTTAATTAAAATCCAGTTTAACATCATCATAAAATATTAAACAATTCTTTTGAATTGTTGATGAAAATGATAAGTGGAAAATTGTTGAAAGATGACGAAAATACATTCCATATTTACACAAAACACTGCTTTACACACGCTTTATTGCATAAATTCTGAATGGTTATTGATGTTGAGACACTGATCAAGAAACTGACATTAAAAAAATTCGTTTTGTTCCGTTTTAATAAAACAGAATTTTTTGTTTAGTAATCTTACTATATAAGGAAATACTGTTGAATATGTCGCAATGTAATAACTGGTAGTTCGGTCCGAGGTTCGAATCCCGCGAACGGACTGGCTGCATGGGTGTTTTCGTGGTTTTCCCCATGTGTAACGTGTATACGAGCCAGTTTCCCTTAGAAAGTCCTCCACGAAGGCATCCCTCCCCTTAGGCAGATAGTCCTCGAGGCTTTGCCATAATCACACACACACACGCGCGCAATGTCATAAAACATAGCAACATTTGTGAAAATACACATAAATTAATCATTCTATAACATTAATATACACATTTTTAACGAGAGATTCAGCTGTCCAGAGCTTTAAAAGTCTGCACTGAAGCATGAAATATTAAGGCCCCAGACAATGAACGTTATCGTTTGCGTGGTAAAGCACTTTAGCCTATGCACTGCGTGCGTAGCCTATGCGTGGTAAAGCACTTTAGCCTTACTTTATGTTATTGATTTTAATTGAAATTAAAATATATGGGTAATGTATTTTTATTAGTAGAGCTGATAATAACCGGTCCTCATAGTATAAAAGCTATTAAACACATATTAACAAAAGTTTCAATTATTGTGTTATGTCGCGAATCGTTAGGTGTATTCATGTTTTGTTATAATCTATTAATAATTAAGTATTTTATTTGTAATTCATTTATATTTGAAATGCTAAAAAAAAGATTCGTAAATTGTTAAAAGCGTTAACGGGATATTTTTCTCAACGGTAAGTTATTTTTTTGTAACAAGACAGGAAAACCTTTCTTTTAAACGGAAATTACATCTGGTTTATGGCTTTTACTGACAGAAGAACTGAGGGCAGTTAGTGTGTTTGTCGAATTTTTTCGCTAGTGGCTTTAATAATGGGTAGTAAAGGAAATCGGCTTTTTCGTTTGCACTCGCATTTTCGCTTTGTGTTCTATTGCAATAGGTTTTATTTCAGTTTCCTCCAGACAGTGGACGTTCTGTAAAGTTTAGGCAATTTGATTCTTATCGTTAGTTTCCGTTGTCAGCTGGCGGATCGAGTTATCTATTTCCCTTGTTTCCCGAGTACAGATGGTCAGGTTTGCTTTCCCAAATTGTCTTGGTTTTGATTCGTTGTGGGAGTGTTGTTTTCGGTTAACTGATAAAGTGAAAGTCTAGGGTTGGTAAAATTTAATTTTATGTGATTTTTTTTAAGCCTATGAACGTATGGGGGCGGTGGGAGTGTTGTTTTCGGTTAACTGATAAAGTGAAAGTCTAGGGTTGGTAAAATTTAATTTTATGTGATTTTTTTTAAGCCTATGAACGTATGGGGGCGGAGAGACCGAGTTTTCTTGGGGTTGTTGAATGTGCACGAGGTTTAAAGGCAGTCATATTTGAGCTGCAGCATTGTAAAGTTTCGTAAGTGCGCGGGGACGTTTGCTTTGCGCCGAGCTTCGGCCCAAGCGAGACGGAAATGCGTTGACTTGGCTATTAGAAGAGCCTTTTCCTGCTAGAAGGTTTATAATAAAGTGCTAAATTCCAAGAGCACTTTTCTGAAACAATTTAGCACAAAATGTTGCTTCGCCGCTATAATGTAAGTGTTCTTGCTAGAAATTGTTGTATGCTCCGTTACCTGTGTATGGAATTGAACTGAGGATCCTTCAAAATTGGATAATGGTCTCCCACCTAATGGGCAGATTTAAGCGGTTCCTGGCGGTCCGATGACGCAAGTGTTCTTGCTAGAAAGTGGTGTATACTCCGTTACCTGTTTATTAAATTGAACTAAAGATCCTTCTAAATTGGGCAATTTTTTTCGATCTAATGGACAGTTTTAAAGCGGTTCCTGGCGGTTTGAAGAATTATTTGACTGTAGTTTCCACCTGTGATTCCTAATAATAATGGACGCTTCCGAAAGGGATAGCGATAGAAAAAAAAATATTCTTAGCTTGAGTTTTCAGTGGATTGGATACTAGGGCTTCTGCAATCCGAAAAAATTGTCTCCCATCAATGAGTGAATTTTTTAAAGTTTATTTTCTCTTTTTCCTTAGTTTTCCCTAATGCCATGTTGGACTAGTTAATAATAATTTGTCCACATATATAAATTGTTATTACTTATATATATTAAAGATTGCTAGTTAGTAATAGTGAGAAGTGATTTATAATTTTAAGTGAAACCAGTTATTTGGAGTTAAAGTTTGTTTCACTTACTGAATTTATGAGTTAGAAAAATGTTCATTTCTAATTAATGAGAACCAGCTATATGGAGGAATTAAATTTGCTACACCTTCTTAACTTAAGAGAAAAAAATGTGAATTATTAATTAAATGTTTTGATTAATGTAAGCTGTAAATTTGTGTGACATATGTGTTATTTTTCCTAGTAAAATTATGTCGTAGGATTACGGATCTGATTATCCATTATATAATAATTTAATATTCAAGAAATTAATAAATGTGTTTGTTTAAAATTATTATTGCATTTGGTTATTTATTGTGTAATTTACTGTGGTCTGTCATGTCACTCCATTTGTTTGAGCTGGGAGGTTTTTTAAGAAAGTTGGAGCTTATATTGAATTTGATTTATTTTCTATCTTTTATTAGGGTAATCACAATGCGCCCTTAAAATTTAATGTACTAACCCACGTATACGTTTAATGATTTGATTGCTTTCGGGGTTTTGATAATTGATACTTAGATGCTAGGATTGAAATTAAACTGATGATTGATTTTCCATAGGGATTGTTTCGTGTGTTGGAGGTAAAAACATTTTGTTAGGATTCACGTAGGTGAATGTTTGTAAGCACCCGTTCAACGAACCTTCTATTACTTCATATTTTTGTGTCAGCAGAAGGAATTTTGCGTTATATGAGGTTAAAACTTTTATGTTTAGGTATTAAAAAAACTCAGGACACATTACATGCGTGAATAAGCCAAACAGTGTTTGTTACACGTACGCGGAAATTACGTTAAAGTCTGGAAAATGCGCCGATCTTCCTGAACAAGAAAAGCTTCCTTCTTATACTTTGAGTGACAAGTGGGGTACTAAGATAGACGTTGGATTTCTGATGTGCGTTGCGCCACTTATTCATCAACCATTTCCCGCAAAGGTACTTCCCTCAGTCCCTGTTACCTACGCAACTGATGTTAACGACACTTAGGAGACTATGAAAGAAATTCTTCACTACCAGGTTAGTAAAATTTCGGTATTTTTAAGGTTTTTGCAATTACGTTACTTTTGGAAAAGGTTACACAAAATCCTGCTATTTCCTGAGTGAGACAATCGAAGCATAGATTTACATGACATAATAATAATAATAATAATAATAATAATAATAATAAACAATAATAATAATCTGAAAGCTTTCAGATTTTGTATTACGCTCAAGTGGGCGTTTTTTTCACTTACACATACATAAACATTTCGAGAACTTTTGAGCTAACGCTCCTTTCGGCTAAAAATACTTAAACACAGTATATCTTTAGAATTTCCGATAGACAGTCTGGCGTGCTAGAAATAAAAATATTTTATTGCGTACAGTGTGTGGCCACTGCTCGCTTTGAAATCGTCGAGTTTTTTTTTATCAAAAATTCGTTAAAGTTAAAAAAATACGAAACAGGTACTGTCTTCCTAGTGCCCATATTCGGGTGGAAGTCTACGTTATTCAAAATTTGATGCCTCTAGGTATCGTTGCTTTTTCACAATGCGAGAAACATACGTACATTCATACAAATTCTTCATTATTTAATTCCTTTAAATATAATACAGGGTGATAATATTTGGTGGCAAAAATTTGAAAAGTGATACAACTGTTTATTGTGATTCGACGCAAAATACCATTTCGAGACTTATAACCCTGCTGGGTTAATACCCCTTTGGGTTAAATACAAAAAAGGACTTACTTCCATGGCACGTCTTTC